GGATCGGGGTAAGGGGGGGGCCAAGTTCCCGGGGCAGCACTCCATGCGGCCTCGTTACCGGGTCCCACAAGCCCAGTTCCCGCTGGCTCATTCTGGTAAAGCCCGTGGTAAAGAGGTATCCTTCCCGCGTGAAGATGGCCCGCACGGGCCTCAGCCCTTCGTGGGGGGCAAACCTCTCCTAAGAGGAGGGGGAGAGAGTCAGCACGGGGCGTGGGAAGAGGGGAAAATGGGAGAGGGGGTCCGGATCTGTCCCCCAAAACAGCCGCTGAGTCCTGCTCCTGGGGAACGCACGAGGCTCTCGGGGCGCACGAGGTGCTGGAGAGTATTCCCGGCACCCGGCGCATCCCCGGCTCGGCCGGGGTCCCCGGGACGGCGCCGGTCGGAGAGGAGCCGCCATCTCGTACCAGGTCCCAGAGGCCCAGCTGCCGCTCGCTCATCTTGCTGAAGCCGGTGGTGAAGATCTTGCCATCGGCCACGAAGATGGCGCGGATGGGGCGGGCGCCGTCGTGCGGTTTGGCTTTCTCCTGCGCCGGCCGTTAGCGGGTTAAAACCAAACACAGAGACGCGCGGGTGCGGGAGGTTAGTAGGGTCAGGCAGGCATGGGGAGGGGGGGACCCCGCGGCGGGATGGTGGGTGGGGGGACACAGGGTGGGACCACTCACCGCCACGACCTGCTGCTTGCGGGGGTCGATGACGCGGACCTTCTTGTCCTTGCAGGTGGTGACGAGGAGGCTGCCGTTGCGGTTCCAGCCCACGTTGTAGATGAGGTCGGTGTGCATGTCCTCCAGCACCAGCAGCATCTCCCCCGTGCCCACGTTCCAGAGGATCACCAAATTGTCACAGCCTGCGGACGACCAATGGGGTAGACGCCGTCACCCCACGGATTCTCCCCCCGCCGCCCCGATCCCAGGGAGGGCGACCCGGGACCCCCTTACCTGCGCTGAGCAGGACGTTGCGGGCGGTGGGGTGCCACGAGATGATGCCCACCCGTTTGGAGTGTCCCTCCAGCGTCACCACCGGCTCCGTGATGTTGCGGACGGGGACGTAGTCGGGGATCTGCCACACCTGGGGGGGGGGTGACGGGACGGTGAGGGGGGCACGGGGTGGCAGGGATCACCCCACAGGTGAGCGCTAAGCGGCTGAGGGCCTCGGAGCCAATTAACCTCATCGTTAATCCCGGCTCAGGCTGCGGGGTGGGTGGCGAGGGGACGGCAGCAGCGCCTGCATCCTGGGGTGCATCCCTGGCACTTGGGGTGCTGGTGGGCACCGGGAGGGGGGCACAGCCACGGCGCAGCCCCCTCCCCCCCCCCCCAGCTATTCCTGGGTGCTGAGTCGCCGGGGCGGGTATATTTAGCACAAACTGCTGCATCATGGAGAGAGCAGCCGCCGCCAGCGTGAACGCATGGCACTGGGGCTAAAAATAGGCCAGTGACACTTCGCAGGCAGCGAAGGGCGGGGGGAGGATGCTCCATGCTGCTCCCCCGGTACCCACCGTCCCCCTCCCGCCCAGGGTCCTGCCCCTCACCATGACGGTGGTGTCCTCCGAGGCGCTGGCGATGACATTGTCGTTGTGGGGACACCAGTCGATGTCCAGCACGGGCGCCGTGTGTCCGGTCACCAGCGGGTGGTTCTTGTCCACCCGTCCCGTCTGCAACGCCGAGGTGCTGGGATGAATCCCCAGCGACTGGGGGGGGACGACACCCTGCCAGGTGCCCCCCAAGCCCCCAGCCCGGCCACCACGTGGGGCTGGGGCACAAGCGGGGACATGCAGGGGACCCCGGAGGTGGCCAGAGCTTTGCACCAGCCTCGAAGGGGGAAACTGAGGCAGGCAGTGGGAATGGGGCTCGCTTAGCGTGAGGCCCCGTAGGGACACAGAGGGGAATGATGTGCCCCGGGAAAAGTTGTTTTGTGTCCCTTCTGATGGCAAGGAGGGGCTGGGATGGGGTCCCCAGCCCCTCTGCTGGGGTGGGCATGGCAGACCCCCACCCCACTGGGATGCTCCCTGGGCATCCTGTGCCCCCAGGGAATTTGGGCTGGGGCGAAAGCAGCGGGCGGTTTCCCCCATCACCTCGGTCGCCCCCGGGACGTCACCCACCCCAGGTTGTCCCCGCCCCGAGCCCCCACACGAGGATGGGGATATTGTGGCAAAGCTGTGGGGGGGGTGTCCAGGCCCACAGCAGCTCCCCAAAAGCAGAGCCCATCAGCATGGCCCCCCAGTACATCCCAGGGAGAGGGGGGCCAGACCCTGGCAGCATCCCCGCTCACCTTGGCAAGAGGCAGGACGATGAAGGCCCCCCCACCGCCGGACTCGACGATGATGGCCACAAACTTGGGGTTGACGGCACAGAAGGAGCTGTCACACGTCACCTTGGAGACACGAATGTCCTCGTACATCTGGTCAGCCTTCACCGGCTGCCCGAAGACGTGCCGGAACTTGCTCTGGCGCACCACGCGGCGGCTCATGGCTGGGGGGTGCAGGGTCAGGCTACGACCCCCCCCTTGATACAGCATGGAGGGGTTTTGGCCCCCCTCAGGCCTTGCGCTCCGAGACACCCCCCCCTACCCTGGACACAGCGGGAAGCCTGGGGACACGGAGATGATGAGGGATGAGGGTGCAGGATGGTGCCCGATGTGGCCCCGACCCGTTGGCAGGGACCGGGAGTAGCCCTTGGGGGGGGGGGGGGAGGCGAGCGCTGCAAGTGCTGGGGACGGGCATCCCGGTGCCGGAGCCGCTTGACGGCTGGGCAGGGACATGGCCGTGCCGTGCCCCGTGGCTGTGCCGTGCCCCACGGCTGTGCCATGCCCCGTGGCTGGCACCGGGGTTGGCACCTCGACGGCTGCAGTAGAGAAGCGGGGCTGAGGGGAGTTTGGGGCGGACACGGAGGTGCCGCACACCAGGTTGCAGCTTGTCCCCTTGCGTCCCGTCCTGCATGGGTGGCCCGAGGTCGCCCGGCTCGACCCAGCACCCAGGAGAAAAGCTGTGCCTCCAGCATTGCCCGCCCCATACGTCCCGCCATGGGCTCCTGTCTGGGGTTCCACGTGTGCCACCCACTCTGCACCCCCAACCCACTCACCCCGGGCGAGGGCTGGATCTGGCACAGCCACGCAGCCCCATGGGCACACCGGGGTGCAGAGGAACCCCCCCGGCACAGTCTCCAGCCCTCGGCCGCCGCCAGCGCCCACCATCACCCATCTCTGTCCCAAGCCCGCGCTGCTTCTGGGACCTGCCCAAGGGGCATTGAGCCCCTCGGGACCCCGAAACCCCTGGTGCTGGGGCTCTGCAGCACCCATGAGCCACTGACCGCCCCGGGGACTCCCCTGTGCTCTTTTGGGGTCTCAGCCATTGCCAGGGGCCACATCCAGCCACCAAAGCACAGCCCGGAGGGCCGGGCACCGCTGTCCCCAGCCTGCGGGGCCGGTGCGGGCAGAGGTAGGAGCAGGTCTGTTCCTCCACGTCCCCGCCGGTGGCTTTTGGCCGGGGCACGTGCAACGCCAAGCCAAGACACATCTGCCCGGTCCCTGGGTGTCCCCAGGGGTCCTCACAGCCCTTCAGCATCGTCCCTGGCCTGGCAGAGCTGGTGTGGGTTGGAACCAGGTGCTGAGGGGGCCCAGAGCCCTGCTACCGAGGGGGGGCTGGACGCTGGCACTGCTGGCATCACCCCCACGGGCCCGGGCACGGTCCCCAGCCCTGGGCAGGGGTGAGTGGGCTCCGTGGGGAGACCCTCCACGTCTTTTGCAGCACCTCATCCATTGCCAGCGGGAGTAGAGCTTGGGGTGCAGGCGTGCAGGGCAGGGGGTGATGGCCTGGCCGGCTGGGCGCAGGGCATGCAGCGTGCGGGCAGGATGCAGGCAGGGGCGCAGGGAAGGTGCAGGTGAGGTGCAAATGCGGTGCAGGCAGAGTTGAGCAGGGTGCAGGCAGCAGGTAGGGTGAGGGCTGGGTTGGGTAGGGTGCAGGTGGGGTGCAGGCAGAGTTGGGCAGGGTACAGGCAGGGCTGAACGGGGTGCAGGCAGAGTTCAGAGGGGTGCTAGCAGGGCTCAATGGGGTACAGGCAGTGCTCAGGTGGGGTGCTAGCAGGGTGCAGGCAGGGCTGAATGGGGTGTAGGCAGAGCTCAGGAAGGGTGCAGGCAGAGCTCAGGAAGGGTGCTAGCAGGGTGCAGGCAGGGCTTAATGGGGTGCAGGCAGAGTTCAGGCAGGGTGCTAGCAGGGCCGAATGGGGTGCAGGCAGAGTTCAGGCGGGGTGCTA